ATCTCATTGAGGGTCTTCCTCTTTTTCGCTGACCCTCTACTTTACTAAGCATGATGTCCTTCTCCAGGGACTGGTCCCTCCTAATAACATGTCCAAAGTCTGTGAGACAAAGTCTTGTCATGCTCGCTTCTAAGTTACGCTAAACTCAAGCTGAGCCAAGGCCATGAGAGACCCCAAGGCAAGTTTTGGGCCAGCCTCGATGTGCGGAGTGGGGAGGACAGCAGGAAAAGCTGTGCCCTGTCCCAGCAGTGAACCTGCCAGCAGCAGAGGGGGCAGGGTCTGTAAGAAACCCCTGAGAAACACAGCACGGAGCCAGCCAGCCAGCCGCTAAGAAGGCAGCCCAGCTTCCCTCTGCGTGTCTTGGCAGCACGATGGCTGCCAACCCTAGGTCCTCGGTAAATGTTCCCTGAAGGAATGGATAGATGGATGGATGTTGGTCTTCCAGCTGCATATCTGGTGTTGGTTGTCTTGTTGAGGCCATAGGATGAGGGCACACCCCTGTGGGTGTGGGAGGGAAGAGGGAGAGTGGGGAGGGAGGAGGGAGTGCAGGGAGGAGGGAGAGTGGGGAAGGAAGGGGAGAGTGGGGAGGGAGGAGGGAGAGTGGAGAGGGAGGAGGGAGAGTGGGGAGGCAGGTCTCCCGGGTTCGGCCATCCAGGGAAGAACCCGGTCCACAACAGGAAACTTGAACTCCCAGGGAGTCCAGACATGGAGAGGTGGCCACATGAGGGTAGGCCAGGTAGGGACAGTCCAATGGGGACCCCAAGGGACAGATGAGTACACTGCCTGTGGTCAGCCTGATAGCCAGCAGCAGTGGTCCCCTCTGCACCTCATTCTTCCTGCTGTTCCCAAGCCCTGGGTCATGTCTTGTTCAAATAGCCCAGCTCGTCTTAGCTGTGTCCTGAGAAGTGTGATGAGTCCACCTTGGCGGGAACATTAAGGGAGAAGCAGTGCCCCCTCCGCCCTGCCCCAGGTCAAGAGCGCAGCAATGGTCAGTGGGAAGAGAGCCACAGAGGACAGTAGACTCTTAGGAACAGGAGTCATGACTGCTAGGGTCAGCCACTCTCCCCATGAAAATGCTCCCTTGTCTGCCCGCCCTGGGGATCTGGGAGACCCCCCACCCCAGAGGGATAGCAGATCCTTGGTGCCCTTGGGAGACAGTCTGGTGTTGTGGAAAGAACCTGGGCTTTAGACCCTGGCAGACCTGGGCGTCAGTCTCGGCTCCACCATTTCTGAGCTGTGGGACTTTTGCAAGCTACTTAACCCGGGGCTTCCTGTCTGTGCAATGGGGGCAGTGCGTACCTCACAGGGTTGTCGTGGAGACGAAGTGGGATGATGGTGCAGGACCAGCAGAGTGTGTGGCAGTGCCTGGCATTTGTCACTGGTAGGTGTTGGGCCTTAACCACAGCAGGGAGCAAATCCAGGTGGAGCTGATTGATTACGTGAGCCGACCCAGGAAATGGCTTTGTCTTTATCCCTTAATAACATCTTGGGCAGATGCTAGAGTTTTCCAAAGAGTTTTTAAAAAACAAACAAAAAAAACACCACCAAGTGCCAGTTTTAAGATTGAGACTCATTCTCAAATGTTAAAAAGTCCAGTCCAGCCTCAATCAAATCTTCCAGTTCACTTCTAGTCAAAGTGTGCCCCCTCCCTCCAGCTCTGGCCTGACCCTGGGCCCAGGGACCTGCGCGGCAGGACGGGTGATCTGGTTTATTTTAGCTCTGATCTTACATCACTGCTGCCACTGTGGTTCTTCCTTAGCGCTGCCGGGTGGGGCCGCAGTGCCCACTGGTAGGCTGTGCTCATCCATGGAGTCCACTTAGGGGTCCTTCGGAGGCCCCCACAGGGACGACAGCCCGGCACCGTTCCCTGAGTGGGTGATACACTCTCCATCTTACCTCCTATGAGCCCCTCTCATACTGTCCCAGCCCTCCGCCCCTCAGCCTCTATTGCTAGCCACCTTGTTCCTTGTGGGCAGTGTCTGGCTTCCTTCCACGGTGTCCTCTCGTCCCATGGCAATCTCACGCCTCCTCCACGCAGCAAGCCCTAGAGGGGCAGATGGCTCCTAATGCTGCCCTCCCTCCCCGCCTCCCCACTCCCGTCAGACTCCCAGCCAGAGAAGTCTCCACACAGCTCCAAGGTCCAGGGGACACTGTCTGGCTCTCCCAGGACACTTGCCGTGCTCTATCTGCTCCAGTGCACCTGCGGGACTGCGAGCATCTGCAGCTCAGAGAGCATCCAGCCAGGAAGACAGCTGCCGTCCCAGAGGAGCTTCTCTGGGACCATCCTGGCATGGGTAGAGGATACCGCAGCACTAGAACAGCAACTCTCCTACTTCGTTACTCTTCCATCGATCCCGGATAATTCAGTCCAGCCTGGAGTGGTGGCAGGGTTTTGCTGTTTTACTAAGTCTAGCATGGATGTGTCTAGGAGATGTCTAGCACTTCTCTTAAAATGGGGGATAATGCATTGCATGGTGTTCTCAGCTTTTAGAATTCAGCTAAAAACCCTAAAATATAGGAAAATCTCATTCAACATCCTCTTAGGCAAAGTGTTAATTTTCCAGGCTCAGGATCTTCAATTTCTTTGGGGCTTTAGGAAAGCGGTTCATCTGCTAGAGGTTTTGTCTTCCCTCAGTGCGTAGAAGCGGTGTCGTGTATAATGATCTAGAAGCCAGGACGTATGGATGGTAGTCTGTCCCCAACTAGCTGTAGGCCATGTCCCCTCTGCCCCTGCTCCCTCACCTATACAGTGAGGGCTAAGTAGATCAGAATTAAGGTTCCTTACAGTTCTAACTGGAGTCCCTAGGTGGTGCGAGCAATTAATGCTCTCAGCTGCTAACAGAAAAGGTTGGAAGTTTGAGTCCATCCAGAGGCACCTCGGAAAAAAGGCCTGGTAATCTACCTCTGAAAACACAGCCACTGAAAACCCTATAGGGCACAGGTCCTATGAGGTCACCATGAGTTAGAATCAACTAGCCAGCAGCTGGTACTGATACAGTTCTAACAGTCCAGGGATTTTTAAAAGTTCTTCTTATCGTGAGTTTACAATTTTAAAAACTCCTAAAACACACAGTTTAAGAATTATACAGCTAACACCCACGTAACCAGCACCCATGTCAACAGAACATGTTCACCACCCAAAGGTCCTCTTGTGTTCCCTCCCAGTCACTACTGCCTCCCGCCCCCCAGAGGAAGCCACAGTTCTGACTTCCATCGAAATCACTTGTGTGCTTTTTCTTATGTTTTACCAATCAAGTATGCATCCCTAAACAAAATACTAGTTTCGTTTTGCCTGGTTTTGAATTTTACACAAATGGAACAATACAGAATATAGTCTTTGTGTCCAGCTTCTTTTGCTCAATGTTCTTTTTTTGAGAGATTTGATCCATGTTGTGGCAAATAGCTGTACTGATGCTTTTTCATTGCTGTATAGTATTCCCTTGTATGAACAGTCCATGATTTACTTATGTTACTGGCTGTTTGGGATATCGATCTAGGACTTTTTATAAATAGACACACAAATACAAACACTCCCACTCCACCCCTAACCATATTAATTCAGAGCCAATTTCTTTATGAGCTCATGAACTTGAGTTTGGCTTTAAAGTATAGCAAAATCCTTCTATCATGTTCTCAGTTATACTGCTATTTTGATTTTTCATTCTACTCTGGCCAAATTCTGCACCTGAGAACATCTCCCTCGATGTGGTTATCATCAGAAGATTGTCCCCTAACTTGAGTCATTAAGCATAGGGTAGACACCATGGTCAGGCAATTGGACATTTCCCCCAGGGAACCTAGAAAATTATTAGCAGAGAGGTACAAGGAACACGGAAAGTACTACTACAAGAACTATTTTCTCTGGCCTGTTTAGGGAAACAGTAAGCCAAATGGAACAGCAGTCTTCTTCGCCCCTGTCCCAGGCTGGCCCCTACCCCACTGGCAGCACACATGAAGTAAACAGGGATGCCCCTAACTTCTGCTGCCACAGGTACCGAAAGGTATCATGATGTTGCTCAAATGGATGATCCATCAGCTCAGAGTCCAAACAGCAAATGAATCTTCCTACCAAGAAAATAAACCCTAACCCGTAACCAGAGTCAGGCAACCATGGGTCCCCCAAAGAGCCGACAGCTGGCATCAGGCCGAGCTCGGAGAGGGGCAGGCTGCCGGTCTGCACTGCCCGGGACGGCATGGCAGGAAGCCAGGCATCTTGCAGAAATCAACTGATAAGGACTGTGTTTTGACCACGTGCAGGAGCTAAAACTAATTATGAGTCCGAAGCAATAAGCAGCTGCCCAGGCACAGAGCAGGCCTCCCAGGGCAAACTACCCCACATCCAAGGCACAAAGAAACAAAACCTTTCCCTTGGCCACAAGGGTAAGCAAGGGGCGTGGTGTTCCTTGGGTGAGAAGGAGCTGACACCCAGAGGCAGAGCCTCACTCACTCCCTGAAGGGTGTAGGCTCTTTCTCAATGGAACCTTTTGTCAGCTTCATGAAGCCCTTTTCAGAGACCGCTAAATACAGCTGCGTGCTCTTCAGAGTGAGCAATTCCAGATTAGCCGCAGTCCTTAGAGAATTCTGTCTTAGCAAGGCCACCTGCTGGGTATGACCTGGGGGGGGGGGAGTGACACTTGTCTGCTTTATGGACATCTCCGTGGTTTGCGCTTGTGCACGGGTGTCTATTTTGTGTGTCCTGCGTGCATCTCCTGCCCCATTCATTTTGAATTATAGATTCCCACCGTGAAGGGCCATGTCTCCATCAGTCTGAGAGATTGCCAAGATCAGGACCCATATCTAGTGCCACCAAGCAAGAGAAATGTGTAAGGACCGCTTTCTCTCCACCTGAGTGCTGCCACTCAGGACAGAAGCCGTCTCAGCAGCTGTGCACCAGCGGCACCCCGGCCCTGGTAGGGCCCGCCTGCCCAGCCCCGTCCTTCGCTGACCCGTGCCCTGTCTCCGCAGGTTTCGGCATGACCACCCCCGCGACGGTGGGCGGGAAGGCCTTTCTCATCGCCTACGGGCTCTTTGGCTGTGCGGGGACCATCCTGTTCTTCAACCTCTTCCTGGAGCGCATCATCTCGCTGCTGGCCTTCATCATGCGCACCTGCCGGGAGCGCCAGCTGCGCCGCAGCGGCCTGCTGCCCGCCACCTTCCGCCGCGGCTCGGCGCTCTCGGACAGCTGGAAGCCCTCGGTGTACCACGTGCTGCTGATCCTGGGCCTGTTCGCCGTGCTGCTGTCGTGCTGCGCCTCGGCCATGTACACCAGCGTGGAGGGCTGGGACTACGTGGACTCGCTCTACTTCTGCTTCGTCACCTTTAGCACCATCGGCTTCGGAGACCTGGTGAGCAGCCAGCACGCCGCCTACCGGAACCAGGGGCTCTACCGCCTGGGCAACTTCCTCTTCATCCTGCTCGGTGTGTGCTGCATCTACTCGCTCTTCAACGTCATCTCCATCCTTATCAAGCAGGTGCTCAACTGGATGCTGCGCAAGCTGAGCTGCCGCTGCTGCGCGCGTTGCTGCCCCGCGCCCGGTGCGCCCCTGGCCCGGCGCAATGCCATCACCCCCGGCTCCCGGCTGCGTCGCCGCCTGAACGCGCTCGGCGGCGACCCCCGGGCCCTCGACAGCGACGCTGAGGGCCGCCGCCTGTCGGGCGAGCTCATCTCCATGCGCGACCTCACGGCCTCCAACAAGGTGTCGCTGGCGCTGCTGCAGAAGCAGCTGTCGGAGACGGCCAACGGCTACCCGCGCAGCGTGTGCGTCAACACGCGCCAGAACGGCTTCTCGGGCGGCGTGGGCGCGCTGGGCATCATGAACAACCGGCTGGCGGAGACCAGCGCCTCCAGGTAGACGGCCGCGCCCGCCCGCCCTCCCGGCAGAGCCAGGAACCCTGACCAATCTGGGGTGCCGTCGGGCGTGGTTTGCTTTACCTCTCTCAGACGCTGGCGCGCTTAATCTTTATCCAATAAAACGAAACAAAAAAAAAATTTTTTTTTTAAAGAAATACTGTTGGGCCAGGCCTGGTGTTATCAAGGGCAGATTCTGGGGGAGCCTGGTTTCCTTGTGGGTCCCCTCTTGGAGAACCGTAGCCCCAGCAGATTCTCCCTCCTGGGAGATAAAAAGGCACTCCAGACCCCGCCAGGTGCAGACCGCGGCAAGGAGAGCGTATCACTGGGTTTTGCAGATTCACACCAAACCCCATCCCCATGCACACAAGCATCCCGCAACCCTAGAGCATATGGTGCAACTTTTCGTGGCTCTGAATTACCTCCTCAGCATTTAGAATCCCGGCCCAGCCTAGCAGCTTCCTTCTGGTCGTCAGAAGTGATATAGTCACAGTTTTGACAGGTGGGGGTGGGGAGAGCCATATGTTGCCTCCTGGGTGTGTCTCTATAGAACAGCCACTACACACAGGAGAACGGTGTAGTATTGTGCGATGAGGTGCCACACGCACCAGCTTGCGGACTGCGGCATTTCCCCCAGATGTGGAACTTGCAATGGTAAGGGACTCCGGCTGGCCTTTCTCAGCTTAGAATTAGTGCCCTGAGCACAGCACTGAGGGCAGCTATTCCTTATGGCAGAAAGCCCAGCGTGGCCTGTAGGAGAGAAAGACTCAGACGGGGCGGGGGGGGGGGGATTGGGGAGGGCGAGCCCTGCTCAGCTTCAGCTGGCTGATTCCTGAGGCTCCACGCATCTCTGAATCCTCCAGCCCTGCTTTCTTCTTGATCACTCACGGAGTGCTTCTCATTGTTAGCTAGGAATGTCTGAGTCTTCTTGGACAAGATTTTTCTTTGTTGGTGTGAATTTCTTTTTTCTTAACTACCATCCATCAGTTCAGCTGTTCCCCTTTAGAGAGCCTGAGGGTGCAAAGTGCAGCCACCCAGCCACCCCTCCTCCTCTACATGGGGCCCTGCCAGCTGCAGCCTTGGGGAGCCAGGACCTGCAGTACCAGGAGTCTGAAGCAGCCGTCCTGCAAATGTCAGGGCGTTTGGCTCCAGAGTCCATCATGTGCTTGGGAGTCAGGAAGAAAAGAATCCTATTCTAAACCCCGCTTGGTCCCCACGAATAATTACATGAATTTGTTTTCTCCCCGCACAGTCTGTGCTGGGGATAGAGGAAGGCAGGAGGCGGGGAGCTTGCAGAAAGAGTGAACAGAAGTCATTTGAGGATGAACGTTTTGCTTTGGGTGATCCTCAGGTGGAGGGACAGATTCTCCCAGAGTTGCCCTCTGCAGCGTGGGGGTCACTCGCCAGGAGGGAGGCCAGATGCCCAGGCTTCCTTGCAGGATGGGGGTCTTAGACTGTAAAGGAACACTCTTTCTGCCTCTTTTTCTCATCTAAAGAGATGAGGGTCCCGAGGACAAATGCTAGAGTTTATACAGACATGGTGTGACCCACCAGTATGTACAGCTTCTGACAGAAAGTCTTCAGGAAGCACCAGGACGCCTCACACAGCCAGCGCCAGAGGCACTAAACCCATTAAGGAAGCATATGTGCCCCCCCACACACACACACTGACACACACACACTCACACACACGCTCACACACACGTTCACACCCACACACGCTCACACCCACACATGCTCTCATGCACACACGCTCACACGCTGTCACGCGCACACTCACACACAAACACGCACACACACGCGCTCACACACACAAGCTCACACGCACACACAGCATTAAGTCACACTGGAGTGTCTGTCAGACTTCTCTTTCCCGTTCTAGTTCACAGCAGGAAGGAAAACAGCTGCAAACTGAGTAACTCTCCAGCTACTTTGGTAATTTTAATTTGGAGTGGGACTGATTTTTAAGCACAGCCGGTAATCTGGGGTAAAGCTGGTGAGGTGGGGCTGGTCAGGAGAGAGGTCAGTCTGGCTGAGTTCTGAAGGCCCAAGAGCCACACTTCCGGATTCCCTGTGCCGGCTGGCTGGGCCAGCCTGTGAGCCCAGACTCAACAAAGGCCCACTGCCTGAGCCATGGTTGCAGTGACCCGGGGGATTGCATGCCCAGAGAGGCACGTGTCTTTGGGGCAAGGCCCTCTGATGGGACCTAAAAATAAACTGTCGGATGTATCCCTTTAAAAAAAAGGAGAGATTAAAAGGCATCCAACTAGAGGTGTCACCTAGGCAACGGGAAATACGTTGGGGATCTGAGCCACCCAGAGGCGGAAGTAAAGATCCCCATGACAGAGGCATCTCGACTGTGAGGACTTAATCTGCAGGCAAAATAGCAAACTCCCCACAGGAAAGGAGCCCCAGGAACAGCCCCAGGAGCTTATGTCCTAGCAGTGGAGTCTCCGTGAGCTAGACAGACCTGAAGCGGGGTCCAGTGCAGCCACAGGCCTGCACTGGGTCCCATCTCCACATGAGGGAGCAGGATCTGTCTCCAGGGGAGAAACACCTGGCAATCTCTGTCAGCCAGTGCTTGCTATAGTCTATCCTGAATTTCTTGTGCTGCAGTCTGTTAGAAACAATCAAAACGCTCCGAAATTTGAACATAAAGTTTATTCTGAGCACTTATTCTGTATAGGGAAGTCATTTTGATTGCAAAAAAAGCAAATGTCTCTAAAAAGCTAGGTACAATGAGGCTGATAAGGAGAAGAGGAGGGAGAAATACAGACGATCAACCATTGGCTCATCTTAACATGATTGACCGAGCCCTGCCCTCCCCTTTTACTGCGATCAATGGATATCGGTTCACAAAATAGTCTGTGCCCCTCCACCCAGCCATGTCTTTTTTTTTTTTTTTAATTGTGATTTAGGTGAAACGTTTACAGAGCAAATTAGTTTCTCATTCAAAAATTTATACACAAATTGTTTCACAGCATCGGCTGCAATCCTGCATTGTGTCAGCGCTCTCCCCGTTTCCCTTTTCACCCCACGTTCACCCACGTCCTTTCGCCCATTTTTCCCCATCCCCTCCTGCCTTCCCGTCTTTGTTCCTGGGTAAGGGGTTACCCATTTGATCTCATATATTTGATTGATCTAAGAAGCACGTTCCTCACTTGTATTACTGTTTATCTTATCCAAAAACCAAACCCGTTGCCGTCAAGTCAATTCCGACTCATAGCGATCCTGTAGGACAGAGTAGAACTGCCCCATAGGTTTCCAAGGAGCAGCGGGTAGGTTTGAACTCCCAGCCTTTTGGTTTGCAGCCCAGCTCTCAACCACTGCCCCACCAGGGCCGTTTGAACTTCAGGGGTGGCTTCAAGTCTGAGTTAGGTGTCCAGGGGCCATAGTCTCGGGGTTCCTCCAGTCTCTGTCAGATCAGTAAGTCTGGTCTGGTTTGTGAATTTGATCATTTGTTCTACATTTTTCTCCTACTCTGTCCGGGACCCTCTGTTGTAATCCCAATAAGAAGGATCAGTAGTGGTAGCCGGGCACCACCTTGTTTCTCTGGTCTCGGGGTCATGTAGGCTGTGGTTCATGTGGTCCGTTAGTCCTTTGGACTAATTGCTCCCTTGGGTCTTTAGTTTTTTTCCCCTCTCCTTAGCTGCAGACTAGGACTAGAAGAGACCAACAGTTGTATCTTAGATGGCCAGCCATGTCTTTCGAGATTCAAATTTAGGAAGCCTAGCTTCAAATAAGCAAGAAAGGATTTGCAACTTTGGGTGAAAGAAAAGCTGCTGGCAGATTAATTTGGGTCGGGGATTTCTTTAAAGTGAATATTTGGTTTCATGGGTCAAAAAAAAATCCAACAAACCCAAAATCAAATCAAGGTATCTGCTATCAATTTCTCTCTTTGACAAACCTTAGCCCAGTTTTCGCTGCTGTTCCTATGCTTTGCCTTTGGAAGGAGGCAATTGAGGGTAGCTTGAGCAAGCTTCAGAAGGAGCCCCGAACATGATTTGAGGGGGCAGGGAGGCCCTTGCCCTTCCCTCTTATCAACTTCCCGGGGAAACATCCATGCTTGCGGGGTCTCTGGTTTGACCTGCACTGAAATCTACCACTCCCCTGGGCTTTAGGAGTTGCTTTCCAACTTTAGGGCGATGCTGGGGCGATGGGGGCTCCCAAAAAGGTGTGATGGGCTCTCAGAAGTCTTGCCACCCAGCTGTGGCCCCGTAGAGGCCACGGACTTGGTGAGCAGCCAGGCCTTCTCAGAGATGAGCAGGCAGGTGAAGAAGCCACGCTTGGTGTCCTTGCTTGCTCAGGGCAGGTGGTCAGGCCGCTCTGTCCTCTGAACCAAGCCAAGCCCTCTGGGCCTGTGGATGTAGGCAGAGGCTCAGGCAGTCTCAGGCACTCAGCTTGTGGAAAATGGCAGAGAGCCCCTGCCCAGGGTTATTACAGCAGTATACACACACACACACACACACACACACACCAGCCTTATAAAGAGCTACTAGCCTCATTCCCCAAGAAAAATCTCAGTCTAGGCCATTTAGAGAAGAACAATTTCCTATTTTTAACTCCCTGGAGAGCTACTAGGGCCTGGAAAATTCCTCTCTGCCTTGGGGCGGTTCGTGTACAATTTGCATGTTATTTGTGTTTTACACAGAAGCCAGCACCCAAACCCAAGCCAAACCCTGGAAAATAGCTGCTAAATTGACCCAGGATCCACATCCCTCAGCAGGCCTCCCAGCAGACCTCTCCCGGCAGGATCTGGGGTGAGCGGTGGCTGATGCTCGTGACCAAAGGAGCCACTTCCAGGGAAAGAAGCAGATGGTGGCCCACAGAGGCGGAGACCACGGAAGCTACGGGCCACGCGGCTCTGTCTTACTGTAACTTCTTACATTCTTTTAAAACCAAAAGCACAATTCCACATGCACAGTGTGGAAAACACATCCAGACAGACTGCTTTGGGGCACTTCTGAGTTCCGAAGAGGCGCTGGGGCTTATCTGTCCAACGGTTGTTGTATAACTTATATAACAAACGAACTTGTTGATGCCTCTGCCACCTCCATGCTCCGTGGGTGGGAACGGCCAAGGAAGGGTCCGCTGGAACCATTCCTGGCCCCCCAGACTCCCAGGGAACGGGGTCTCTTTCCAGGGCAT